TTAGTCTGTAAAAACATTCGTTTTCTCTCTAATAATATAACTCCAACTAAGACTGTTGAACAATCGAACACGAAATAATCTGAATATCTCAAGGCTAGCTCCGGGGTTGGTTCAAAACAATGATGCCATTCTATTATTGTTTCCCACAGCTTCCACTCAAAATATTTGGTGCTTGACCACTCAACCAAATTTAATTGACGAAGTTGGCCATTGCGACATCTAACGCGAATGAAGCGATTTCGAATGTCAGTCTTGTTCCAGCTCCTGTAGTTTCCTTTTTTTTAAATATATATATAGTAGAGAATATTATTATTTCTATTGCTACACATGGGTTAATACCAGCTTTTACCAATGGTACTAGCTGATCCATTTTTGTAAGGTAAAATAAAGCAGTTATTATTATTATTATAAAAACATCTCTGCGCGAAAGATACGCTTTGTTACTGGTGGTCTTTGAAAATATGGTAGCCRTATCAATTAGCCTCAGATATTGATCTCATGTTGACATCGTTGTGTTGACAGATACGGATGGAGATAATCTTACCAATCTTACATTGTGATTGACAGCTATAATTTTGAGCATTGTGATTGGCAGTAATTTTGAGCATTGTGATTGGCTGTCATTTTGAGCATTGTGATTGGCTGTAATTTGGAGCATTGTGATTGGCTGTAATTTGGAGCATTGTGATTGGCTGTAATTTACCGACTGATTTTTGGCTTGGTAAATTTGGCGGGAAGCAAGAACGAATAGTCCATCGTACCCGAGTCAAAATACAAAAAAGCGGCGGGCTTTGCGAAAATCTGTGTTTCGGGCATTAGATTTAATGTAAATTGAARAGTAAATACTCGCGCTATGTGATTGGTCATGCTGTAACGTCATGAGGGCGTGTCCCTCATAAGGATTAACATATATACATTTTGTAATTCTAGTATTGATTTCAGTTGTCACGAGTTATCAAAGAGTATTCATCTAGGTTAGTTAATCGTATTGTAATGGTCATGGCGTATTAAAATGTAGAGTACAGTATTCCACTCGGTGTGTGYTACCGCTAGTCACAGGGACACAACACTGGCATATRCTTTGCAGTGTTACGACTGTTTTCGTGCCACCAGCTGTTTACAGTCATACGAAAACTSCTCTAACAACCAGTTGTGTGTAACAGTTGTAGAGAGTTGTAGATCCGTTACAAAACGAAACTAAAATTTTTAGAAAATTTTCCGGTTACCCACAGGACAAGGAAAGTCTCTTATTTTCGAAATAGCAATGACATAAAAGGAMATTCTTAACGAGCTAGTGGGCTTGGGTGCTCTTTCAGGTCAAACGGAGTTTAAAAGGCTGTTAATTAGACAAGTAGTGGTAAAGATGAAACAAGTGAAATACAGTTAATAGGACTTTTTTAGTTTTTTTCCCGATCATTTACTCTCGTATGAAGACGCCTCAAAAATGTTCGTCCACAGGACCATTTTCGACATCGTTTAATTTTCGATTGTTTTAAATTTGTCTAAATGTAAGTGCATTTGTTCAGTTGATATATTTAATGTATGTATACAATTATGATATTTAAGAAGAAACTACAATGGAGTGATTATAAAAAGAATTTCGCATAAATTGTCCTTGGTTGATTCGTACTTGGTTATTTGTTGACTGGGATTCTATTGTTATTGCAGATGGCCGCAGCACACGAGTATTCCACAGAAGAACTTAACTATTTCAGGATTTGCAACGTCACCACTCGAATCATTGCTGAAGGACTACGAGTAGTCTTCAAGCTATTATGGGACACTCATTACCAGGCGACACACGGCCCGTGGCAAGATACGGCTAAGAATGGCATTGATTTGTACAGCATGGAATCTTCGAAAAGTTGTAAGAGAAATTCACGAGAACTTTTAATTTTGAGAAATGGCAATAGACTTGAATGGGACTGTACCWGTCTTTTTGTTGCCATTCTCTATTCAGATAGT